CAAAAGTGGTATTTGGTCCAAAAGTGGCTCTTGGTCCAAAAGTGGTATTTGGTCCAAAAGTGGTTCTTGGTCCAAAAGTGGTTCTTGGTCCAAAAGTGGTTCTTGGTCCAAAAGTGGTTCTTGGTCCAAAAGTGGTATTTGGTCCAAAAGTGGTTCTTGGTCCAAAAGTGGCTCTTGGTCCAAAAGTGGTTCTTGGTCCAAAAGTGGTTCTTGGTCCAAAAGTGGCTCTTGGTTCAAAAGTGGTTCTTGGTTCAAAAGTGGTTCTTGGTCCAAAAGTGGCTCTTGGTCCAAAAGTGGCTCTTGGTCCAAAAGTGGCTCTCGGTCCAAAAGTGGTTCTTGGTCCAAAAGTGGTTCTTGGTCCAAAAGTGGTATTTGGTCCAAAAGTGGCTTTGGTCCAAAAGTGGCTCTTGGTCCAAAAGTGGTTCTTGGTCCAAAAGTGGTTCTCGATCCAAAAGTGGCTTTGGTCCAAAAGTGGCTCTTGGTCCAAAAGTGGTTCTTGGTCCAAAAGTAGCTTTTGGTCCAAAAGTGGTTCTTGGTCCAAAAGTGGTTCTTGGTCCAAAAGTGGTATTTGGTCCAAAAGTGGCTCTTGGTCCAAAAGTGGTTCTTGGTCCAAAAGTGGGTCTTGGTCCAAAAGTGGTTCTTGGTCCAAAAGTGGTTCTTGGTCCAAAAGTGGCTCTTGGTCCAAAAGTGGCTCTTGGTCCAAAAGTGGCTCTTAGTCCAAAAGTGGTTCTTGGTCCAAAAGTGGTTCTTGGTCGAACACTACATTCTAGATGCTGTTGATGTTGAAGAGAGTATATGTTTTGGACCAGTCTAGTTTAGCCGCTGTGGACTTTTGAATGCACTCGTTAAATGAGAATGGGGTGAGTGCAGCTAACACATGCACAAATCTTTTTTTTACTTGTCCCTGCCCAGCGGCCATTTTGAAAAAGCTCTACTACAGTACATTTGTTGATATTTACATTCTATGGTCGGGACTAACTCGGTTGAAGGCCACTTTCTCTTGCACTAAGAAGAAGTTGTAATTGCTGAATATTGATTTGGCAATATGAGTGGCATAGTTTGTAATTCTCACAAATAACCCAAGAGCATGTTCTCTGTTATAGCTCTGTACACGACAAGAATGATCAAATATAAGGTAAAACAAAAAATGCTTGAGTTTTTATCTTGAATTGAGGACATTTTGACATCAAACTACATTTGTCAGTAGAACAAGGCGTTGTGTCTTTTTCAAGTGCATTTTCGATTTATTTCTCTCTTCAAGGAAGAATTTTTTAATGAATTTTCTTGTCAACATTATTGCTTGTCGCGGCTGCAAATCTTTTTTAAGGCATTCAATTTGTGTTTTTAATACATTTTTTACTTATTTGTCATTTTTCTCATCTAATTATTGGGCCAATCCACATGAAACAAAATTAATCTTTGTTGTCAGTTCACATCAACTTTGGTTTTACTAATTTCTCATCTATAGAAGTGGTGACAATAATGAAAAAGCATTTGTTGGTCTCTTCAAAGGACTTTCAGACAAAAGAATAATATGGCGGGTTTGTGAATCTGATCAGTATCAAACAAGAATCAGGAAAAAGGATTGGAAAAAAACAATTATATTTCCTTAGAGAATCATCCACCGCAACGCACTTTAGGCTTTGGCTCAGTGCAATATAGACTGCACTTTAGGCTTTGGCTCAGTGCAATATAGACTGCACTTTAGGCTTTGGCTCAGTGCAATATAGACTGCACTTTAGGCTTTGGCTCAGTGCAATATAGACTGCACTTTAGGCTCAGGGTAAGTGCAATATAGACTGCACTTTAGGCTTTGGCTCAGTGCAATATAGACTGCACTTTAGGCTTTGGCTCAGTGCAATATAGACTGCACTTTAGGCTCAGGGTAAGTGCAATATAGACTGCACTTTAGGCTTTGGCTCAGTGCAATATAGACTGCACTTTAGGCTTTGGCTCGTTGCAATATAGACTGCACTTTAGGCTATGGCTCAGTGCAATATAGACTGCACTTTAGGCTTTGGCTCAGTGCAATATAGACTGCACTTTAGACTCAGGGTAAGTGCAATATAGACTGCACTTTAGGCTTAAAGTGCAGTCTAGACTGCAATATAGACTGCACTTTAGGCTTCGGGTAAGTGCAATATAGACTGCACTTTAGGCTTAAGGTAGGTGCAACATAGACTGCACTTTAGGCTTCGGGTAAGTGCAATATAGACTGCACTTTAGGCTTAGGGTAAGTGCAATATAGACTGCACTTTAGGCTTAAGGTAGGTGCAATATAGATTGCACTTTAGGCTTCGGGTAAGTGCAACAACGCTTTGTGACTCTGGTCTGTGAAAGGCGGTATATAAATAAAGCTTACTTACTTACTTACTTACAACATAGACTGCACTTTAGGCTTAGGGTAGGTGCAATATAGACTGCACTTTAGGCTTAAGGTAGGTGCAATATAGACTGCACTTTAGGCTTCGGGTAAGTGCAATATAGACTGCACTTTAGGCTTAGGGTAAGTGCAATATAGACTGCACTTTAGGCTTAAGGTAGGTACAATATAGACTGCACTTTAGGCTTCGGGTAAGTGCAATATAGACTGCACTTTAGGCTTAAGGTAGGTGCAATATAGATTGCACTTTAGGCTTCGGGTAAGTGCAACATAGACTGCACTTTAGGCTTAAGGTAGGTGCAATATAGATTGCACTTTAGGCTTCGGGTAAGTGCAACATAGACTGCACTTTAGGGTAGGTGCAATATAGACTGCACTTTAGGCTTAAGGTAAGTACAATAAAACTTGAGATTTTAAGTTCAAGATTGTGCACTTAAAACCTAAGGATTGTTTTGACGTCCTGTTACTACGGTCCTAGAGGTCTCTGATGGTCCTAGAGGTCTCTGTTAGTGCTCTGATGGTCCTAGAGGTCTCTGATGGTCCTAGAGGTCTCTGATGGTCCTCGAGGTCTCTATTAGTGCTCTGATGGTCCTAGAGGTCTCTGATGGTCCTAGAGGTCTCTGATGGTCCTAGAGGTCTCCGATGGCCCTAGAGATCTCTGTTGGCTTGGTAGCGGTGTGGAAATGTCCAATCAGGGAGAAAACCAGGCCACAGCTGTTGTTTCACTACAAACCCCAAACATACCGTATATACCATGCAGTTCCTTGAAACATGGCAAACAATCTGACGTATCCCTTTCACGCCTTATGGTCTTTTCCGCTGGTTTCCCACAGCTGTCCTTTTTCTCCCTCATTCTAATACAAAGATAATAGGATTTGGAGGATTGCATTCTTCGGTCTGAGCCTGGATCCTGTGATATAACGCCCCTCTGCCCGTTTGCATGTTTGCTCTTGATTCATATTCTTCCCGGCAAACCGTCCTCAAGTGTAGTCCAAGGGGAGTCGTCTGGTTCAGGGTCATTATGGCCCACTTCTGTATGGACTACTGACTTTTACGCTCAGGGCAGAAATACAGGGCTATAGGGGACAGGACTGAGTTTAACGGCTGCTTAGCTGTGGTCCCCATGTGGCTCTTATTTGGACATGTTTATGGCGACGCACAAGGGCGGTATGAAGTACACAACGTTGAATTTTTAATAGCTGACTCTGTACAAAGTCAGAAAATGCAACACTCATTTTGTGGGAATACAGCACGTAGAGCATATTAACACAAATATGAAACTACTAGAACTCCCAGAGCAATCGTTTGTGTGGCTCCCATTAGAATGGATGGGAATCTGAGAAGAATAAAAAAGCAGTTTTAGTTTTTCACTACTTTTATTAAAACTATGTCATTAGAGCAGTACATGGTAAAATGTATCACATGAAATACAGAAAACTAAATACTACTGCTGCAAGTAAACAGTGTGTGTTGCTGTGGTAACTAGCGCTTGTGAGATTGCTCTGACCCAGTCCAGGACCAGTCAGAGATCAGTCTGGGATCAGTCCGGGACTAGTCTAGGACCAGTCTAGTACCAGTCTAGGGTCAAGATAATTTCATTAACATAATTACTTGGCTTTTTGAATGCACAGCAACGCAAATAACTGTTACTTCTACTCTTTTTTTTTCTTTTTTTTTAAATAACCCAAGCAACTCTGCACATGAAGTCCAGTAAGATTATTGTCCCAACTTTGTTCATGAGGCTAAAATGCACCAGGACTTTTTGCAAGCCCCAGACCCCAAAGAAAGGAATGATTATCTAATTTTGACCCCACTCCATATTGGAAGCAACATGCATTTGTGCCTGCCTCTCAGCGCATTGTGTCACACTGTGGCTCAAATGGCTCTTTCTTGCATGTTTTGTGGTCAAACGTTATACCATGCAAACTTCGTAAAGCGTGAGGTTTTCCTTATGCTAAATGTATCAACTGTGTCCGTGAATTTATTTTTTCGTCTGTGGAGTAGATAATGCCAGTTTATCTTTATACCAATATACTGGGCTTGACATATTGTGTGAATATAGACTTCTCAAACTGCTAGAAACCCCTGAAAATGGAGCGATAAATGCAGTGACTTGTTGCCGACAGTTCACCTTCTATTTCATATGATCCATGTCTGCTGATAACAGTGGGGCAGAGTACAAAACCTCAAAATTCACCTTGAAAAATAGATATTGTCGAATGGTCTCAGACAGCACTTGATCTGAAAATCCTTTCAGGGGTAAATCATCAGCACCAAACAAACGCAGGCTCTTGAGTTTTTTTGAGAGTGGAGTCATCGGAGCGTTCACAGCGAGGATAATGCATGTCTCTCCGTCAGAGCAGCTGCTGAGAGCCTCACAACACGTCTGAGCTGTGTTCGAGCGAGCAACGGACTGAGGGCCAGAGGTCGCTGGAGCTCACTTGGCCTCTCGCTTAATGGGAAATACAACCTTGGAGGAGTCACCCAACAAGATCCATCTTTACGGCCACCATTTTGCAACTTTACTATGTCAAGATGTGGATTGTAAATGATGTAAATAGAAAAAAAACCGGCAGCAGCGAGTTTCCATGCAAAGTCGATAGTGAAAGTGGTGGATATGGCAGTGGGTACGGCGGTGGGTATGTTGGTGGGTGCGCCGTTGGGTATGTTGGTGGGTGCGCCGTTGGGTATGTTGGTGGGTGCGGCGTTGGATATGGCAGTGGGTGCGGGAGTGGGTATGGTGGTGGGTATGGGGGTGGGTATGGTGGTGGGTTTGGGGGTGGGTATGGGGGTGGGTATGGGGGTGGGTATGACAGTGGATACTGTGGTGGGTATGGCGGTGAGTATGATCGTGGGTATGGGGGTGGGTATGATGGTGGATATGGGGGTGGGTATGGGGGTGGGTATGATGGTGGATATGGGGGTGGGTATGGGGGTGGGTATGATGGTGGGTATGGGGGTGGGTATGATGGTGTGTATGGCGGTGGGTATGGCGGTGGGTATGGGGGGGGGTATGATGGTGTGTATGGCGGTGGGTATGGCGGTGGGTATGATGGTGGGTATGGGGGTGGGTATGATGGTGGGTATGGGGGTGGGTATGGCGGTGGGTATGATGGTGGGTATGGGGGTGGGTATGATGGTGGGTATGGCGGTGGGTATGATGGTGGGTATGATGGTGGGTATGGGGGTGGGTGCAGCAGTGGGTATGGCAGTGGATACTGTGGTGGGTATGTTGGTGGGTTCAGTGGTGGGTATGGTGGTGGGTACTGTGTTGGGTATGGCGGTGGGCATGATGGTGGGTATGGTGATGGGTACGGTGGTGGGTATGGTGATGAGTATGGGGATGGGTGCGGCGGTGGGTATGGGGGTGGGTTTGGCATCAGGTGCGGCAGTGGGTATGGCAGTGGGTATGGCGGTGGATACGGCGCTTGGTACGGCAGTGGGTACCTCAAAGGGTACGACGGTGGGTACGGCGACTAGAAAGCAACAAAAGCAGTAGATGAGATTCACTGAACGTCCTCGCTCCACGCTTGTATGGAAATGGAAATTGCACGGATGGCAAATTGCCGATGCAGCCCGTCCTACTGTATGTGTCCATTAGTGTGAACCTGAACACTATTGAACTGTTTATGCCCCACTTGCACAGACACATAATCATATCTTTTCCATGTTTTTTCTGTAATGCTTTATTGTGACAGTGTTTTTTCACATTTTCGCTGCTATAACCTGCACAGCAATCTGCCCCAGGTTCAGAGATGCGTTTGTTATTCTGATAAGTCCGGCCAGGTGAAATTGTAGAACATTTCCATTGAGAGATGAATATCCCCAGGCCAGTGAAATTGCACCGACTGTAATTTAATCAAATCTGCGATCCGGGCCTCGCAGATATCCGCTGTTAACACCAGGAGTCCAGCCATCTCATTATAGATCTGTGTTACATTTGGGTCTGGCTGAAAACGTATCCTCCCTCACTTGAAATGTGTCACATTTGGTATATTTACGATGTACCGTGACTTTCACATTGCAAAACATTAGTATTCATCAAGGTTAATTTCATGATAGATAGAAACTGAAGGTCATCCACAAGTTTTAATTTTTTATAACTCTCAAGAAAATAGTTTTGAATGGGGAACTAATCAGAAGAGAGGGTTCTTTATTCATCCCACAATGGGGAAATTTCAGTTTGACACATACACATATACATCACTTCCACGCTAGTTGGATCTTATATCACATACAGTAGACACATGTTTGTACCACTGAGCTTCTTAATATTATGTCAATTTGGGAATTATCTCAACATAAATGTATTTATATTGCGCCATTTTACAGACCAAGGTCACCCAAAGCACTTAATAATGTTCAGAGTTCAGATATTATAATCAAAATCCTGACAAATGTGAAAATCAATGTCAGGTGGTACCATCTGTGGAGATCTGTGGAGACACTGGTACAGCTGTTTGTACCAGTGTGAGGCTTATTGCTGTGATTATGTGTTGTTTTGTGTTTTTTTTGTGATGTGTTTGTCTTACCTTGGATCATGAATCTGTAGCAAAAGTTTGATGATGATGCTTTCTGTCATTCGAACACACTGGTCTATCAAAACCTCCGACCATACCTCCGACCAAACACCTTCCATTCACTCACTCGATATATTGAGATCTATTGAGCACCCGGAGGAAACCGACGCAGACGTAAAAAATAGTGTGTAAATGATATTGTGTGTAAACAATATTGTGTGTAATTAATATAGTGTGTATATGATATAGTGTGTATATGATATTGTGTGTAAATGATATAGTGTGTATATGATATTGTGTGTAAATGATATAGTGTGTATATGATATTGTGTGTACATGATATTGTGTGTAAATGATATTGTGTGTACATGATATAGTGTGTAAACAATATTGTGTGTAATTAATATAGTGTGTACATGATATTGTGTGTAAATGATATTGTGTGTACATGATATAGTGTGTAAACAATATTGTGTGTAAATGATATAGTGTGTATATGATATTGTGTGTATATGATATTGTGTGTACATGATATTGTGTGTAAATGATATTGTGTGTACATGATATTGTGTCTATATGATATTGTGTGTAAATGATATTGTGTGTAAATGATATTGTGTGTATATGATATTGTGTGTAAATGATATTGTGTGTACATGATATTGCGTGTAAATGATATTGTATGTACATGATATTGTGTGTATATGATATTGTGTGTACATGATATTGTGTGTATATGACATCGTGTGTATATAATATAGTGTGTACATGATATAGTGTGTATATAATATTGTGTGTATATGATATTGTGTGTATATGATCCATCCATCCATTTTCTTCCCTTTAATCCATTTCTGGGTCAGGGGGGTGGCAGTCAGAGATGCCACCCAAGTCTCATAGCACCAGCCCCTCACTGACCCTCTGCAGGTGGTGAGTCCACAGGAGGACGGCTGCTCTCTGAGTGTGAGCATAGCCTTGATCTTTCAGTGGGGGCTTTGGGCAAAGTGGGGTTAAGTGTCTTGCCCAAGGACACAACGACAGCAGTCATCAGTGGGAGTCGGTGGAGAAGGTGTAGAGGTGGGAATTGAACCCACGACCTTCAGGCCTTAAGGCCAATGCTCTACCAACTGAGCTACTGTCGTCTGTATATGATATTGTGTGTATATGATATTGTGTGTATATGATATTGTGTGTATATAATATTGTGTGTACATGATATTGTGTGTACATGATATAGTGTGTATATAATATTGTGTGTACATGATATCGTGTGTACATGATATTGTGTGTACATGATATTGTGTGTAAATGATATTGTGTGTAAATGATATTGTGTGTATATGACATCGTGTGTATATGATATTGTGTGTATATGATATTGTGTGTACATGATCTAGTGTGTATATAATATTGTGTGTACATGATATTGTGTGTACATGATATAGTGTGTATATAATATTGTGTGTAAATGATATTGTGTGTAAATGATATTGTGTGTAAATGATATTGTGTGTATATGACATCGTGTGTATATGATATTGTGTGTATATGATATTGTGTGTAAATGATATTGTGTCTATATGATATTGTGTGTATATGATATTGTGTGTACATGATATTGTGTGTAAATGATATTGTGTGTATATGACATCGTGTGTACAGTACATGATATTGTGTGTATCTGTCTGAGGCTCACAAACCCATTACCTAATTTTGCTGAGTGCATAATTACATGTGATAGAACAAATAGTCGTCCATTGAGGCCGTGTTTGCTGACACAGATTTATGTCTCGTATTAATTGCAACCATTTATCTTTTCAGGTAAGCACTCACTGCGAGAACATCAAAGCTGCTCTTGCCAAGTCTGACCGAGGGTATTGGACTGACAATCTCAAACTCATCATTTTCAACGTTGTGTTATTTGTAATGACTTAATTTTCATTTCAAACGGAGGCCACACACACAAACACTTACAACTTTTACTTTTTTTTACTCAAACTCCCCCTGCTGAGTTTCTGATGACATGTCCTCCCATACGGTCAATATAAAGTTTGTCTCTGTACTTTCCTTCGCCATTTACCGAGCAGCATGTGGCAGCTGTATTAAATTGGGGACAGCGCTGGCGGATTGCTGTGACAAGCCTGCAGGGCGGAGGGACCGTTAGTTAATCCCAAGTGTTTGGGGGTAGTCGAGACGCACCGCTGCAGGTAGAGCACAGTGTTGTGGAGACGGGGATGTGGGGATAGTCTCTGTAAAACTTCCTGATAGTTAGACACCACAGACCGGGCACAGACACACACCAAAACAGGCTGTCAACAGACAAAAAGAAAACCTGATTACTGTTGAGAATACACAATCTTAATTATGTTGTATCATGTCAAGACCAAGGTAAATGGAAATGTCAAGAAAACCAATCAATTTGAATTATTTTAGTATCAACACGTCAAAGGCACAAGAGATTAACAACACAACATAAGTAAGTATCATACTGGCTGGTGACAGTTTCGAAACAAGTCCTCTACTCTCAAATTTACAAACAAGACATCATTGCACTCAAACAGTGTTGTCTGAAAACATGATATTTATAAAACAAAAAGCCTGACTACAAAAAATGACTTAATTCTCTAACTCTTATAGGCAGCTTCAGTGCTGTCCACTGAACTGCATTCAAATACACCTTTACATACACATACAAGCATATATAAGACACCATTAAGAATATACAGTGCTAATCTGGTTAAATATTGAATGAATAGACACATAAAAACAGTGTAAAAAAAATACTGTCGATTACCTTACAACACATCATGAGAGTAATAGAGCTCAAACCAGAGTCATTACAACATTTTGCGTTTGCCTCTTTAGTTCTAGCTGCGGACAGTGAGTAGAGAAACTTGTATTGTAAATGTTTTTAAGCAAAGGCTCTGAGTTTGTCAGAAAAAAGCCTGTGCAGTTCGTCTGTAGTCCTCTGTTCTAGACCACGGAACCTCAGCAATCAAGCACTGCCTCACTGTTCATATCACGAGGAAGCCCAATCCAAGCAGCAGCTTCACTCACGCCGCAACCCTCCTCCTCCCCATCTCCGCCTCGTCCTGGACCAGCTCTTTCATCCTTCACCTAAACTACCAACAGCAGGGTCTGGGGTCTCTTTCCCCTTTCTGCTGTATCACTGTTCTCTGCCGGGGTCTAAGGCTAAATCCTAACCACATTCTGTACATCACAATGAATGAAATCTTCAAAAGTCCTCAGAGTCACGTGTGTAATTTATGTCATGTCAGATTACTGCCAAATAATAAACAATTCTAACAATACCCATGTTTTGTCTGTTCGAGTCTCTCCCGATTGAAATCTATTTTGTCTCAGGACGTTCCGCTCGACCCTCCACACACGTGATCTACTCCCTGCTCTCGGCCCGCAGGTCTCTGAAGGATGACTCCATCACGCCCCAAGGGTTAAACACCTTGTCATCCCCTCCTCGTGTCGCCCTAATGTGCCAACTCAGCGGTTTCTCAGGGTGCTAATCGCTCGTACATGACCGCTGCGTCGCTCCAGAGGCTGTCACTCATGGCTCCGAACCCATGGCCGTAAGCTTGTGATCGGAATATGTCAGCAAAGTGGTAAAGTTGAGACCAGAAGGGTAACAAAAACATGGCCCACATCTCCTTACATGTACATAATTCAGCGCTTCTGTATTAGAGGTTTCTTTATCTTGTCAAGCCAGTGATTCACGCGCAAAGCTCCAAATCTCCCGAGTGATTTCATTTAAATCTCTGTCATGAAAAAAGTGTAGCAAAGTATATCCCGGGTACAAAATCTGCTGAATAGTGAAATGTATTAGACTTAAGATACTGGGCGGAAATCTCACTTCTCCAGGACACGGAAAAATGAATTCATTTTCAGATGCTATGGTGATGGTGTAACTATGGCGACGTGTGTAAAAGATCAGTGGGAGCAATCGTACATTTTAGTAAAAGCCCGT